GATCACAGTGGTTGAGCCACATAGGGTATGACTCCTGAGTATACACCTCCTAGTGTTCTCCTGAGGAAGACACTATGAGTCTGCTTGCTTAGCTCCCTTTCTTTGGTAAGCTTGTTCTGAAGCTTGAAGACTGGGATTGATTTTTCTTGATTAGGGCTAGTGCTTAGATTTGATTCAGATTCTGTGATTAGGGTTAGGATTAGAGAGTAGATTCTTTCCTTCTCAAGCATGTGTGTTTGTTTGCCTGGTGGCACTTCATTTCCCTTACTTGTTCATTGCTTGATAGTATGTTGTTTATCTTCAGTATGATTGCTGTTATTTCATGACTGGCTTGAGGTCGAGACGAGCTTGTGGAGGCTGAAACCCCACACACACTTCCTCCCTCACTTGCATTGCATGCATTTTACTGTTAAAGCTGATGTTTTTGTGTATCATTGACATGATCCCTTAGGACTCTCATTTCCTCAGATGAGGATTTGATGATAGACTTTTAGGTTGAAACCTATGCATGACAACATCTAGGAGTTCCCTGTTCAAACCTCAACCATAGGATGAATCCATGGCATGATAACAGTAGGACTTGATAGTCTCCCTCCTAGTTGAGCCATTTTTTCCCGTAGTTTCCCGAACTACGTTTGCTCTGATCTTTCATACCAGATGAAAGTACGTAGGCATAGGATGCGATATCCTAGCGAGCAACCTTCCCCTTCCCCCGTAGTTAGTCGAACTACGTTGACTCTGATTTCTCATTCTCTGATGAGAATACGTAGGCATAAAGTGCGACGCTTTGCCGAGTCATTTTTCTTTTCTTTTTCAGCCAGCCTTGATAGGTAGATAGATTATAACCAACCCATCCAAGTAAACAAACAAGCGAGGATCCCGTCGAGTACGACGGACGTGAGGGGTGCTAATACCTTCCCCTTGCGTAACCGACTCCCGAACCCAGACAATGGTTGCGACGACCTTGTCTTACCCTTTTTCGTCAGGTTTTTCCGATCGTTTCCTTTCCCGCTCTGAGGGATAAATAACGAAAGGTGGCGACTCTTCTGTCATGCCGGCACCTTATTTTCGCGCAAGCGACACATACCTTACTGCTGTGGCTTGTTGTTTGCCTTAGGATAGAATATCCTTTGTAAAAAAAACATCGTCCTAGACATGGCAACAATTTGTATGCCTATTGGGCTTCCTATAACCTTCTGCAATTAATGTTCAATATTCCACTGAGTTTATAATTCCAACTCATATGCTTTGCACCAGAACTTGCCTGTGTTAAAAAAAGAAATTACAATGTTGTTGTATCAAGGTTGTGATGTAATGTTTGCACACCACTTGTGATAGCTACGGCGATATTCAGAACTTATTGACTTGACGATAATTTGGTAATAACTTGAAATGAAATCACTTATATACCTTGGCTCATGACTTGAAGCCCATACCACGAAATAACTTGATGCAAATTTGACCAAATGGCTTAAATCAAGAGAAAGTTTGGAAGTCAATCTTTGGGCATCTTTTATACTTCATGAGAATATTTGTAATGTGGACTCTGTACTCTAATGCCCTCATGAAGATTGAACCCGTAAAACCATGGTCTTGACATAACCCATGCAAGCATTATTTTGAACAACATGGTTTAATATTTTTAAACCAAAAGCAGTCCTTGAAATTATGATTTGCATATGACCCTCAAAATATTTCATCATCTTTGAATCAACTCAATCTTGGATTGAACAAATTAAAATATGACCAAATCATCTTAGCATCATGTTGAAGTGCAACTTGAACCCATCTTGATATATGGCTCGAACTTATTCTGAAACACTTTGACCATGTCTTAAAATAAATCAAACATATTATAGCTTGAAAGCGAACAACCACATGGTTTAGAATCCATTTGAAGCCACTTGATCATATCTTGACTAACTGATAATAAGAATAAGGACCTATTTTTCTTTCATCTCCAACTGAATCTACTTGGAACAAATCAAATCCATTATTGTCATAAATTTATCTTGGCATCAGATCCATTTGAAATGTGTCCCAGAATCATTTTGGACTATCGTTTAAAATCAACTTGAAGTCATATAACCATGTCTTGACTGAGTAATTGTACAATGAGTGCCTAATCCTCCTTTATCTGTCCTTGAAAATACAGCAAACCAACAAGAGCTATCAAACACCACAAACTCATACAAGATCCTCATGAACTAAATTTTGGCATATGATAGCCAAAGGCCATATGATGATTTTGTTGGGAAGGTTCCATGAAGCAACACTATGAAAAATGAGAGGGTAGGACAAATTTGGGGTATGACAGTGGGAACATTTTTCTACGTGAAAAACACGTCACTAAGTTGTGACATGGGAATCACGTCGCAAATAACAAAAATAATAGAAAAAGTTCCCACGTGAATATCACGTCATTAATTAGTGACTTGGTTTTCACGTAGGAAACCACCTTTCCCAATATGTATGTGTACGTTATGTATGACACCAATTAAATTTTTTTCCATGGGATTCCCACATCACTAATTAGTGACGTGGTTTGCATGCCACAAATGAAAATGTTTTATATTAGTGACATGGGTTGCACTTCACTATAAAATTTAATAATTAAAAAAAATAAAAAATATTAACTGAAAACAATTATAAAATTAAAATAAATATTAAATATTAACTATAAAATTTAAAATTTTAAAATAATTTTTAATTAAAATAATATACATTAAAAAAATATAAATATTTAGTCACATGAAATTCACGTCATACATATAAAAAAAATTTGTCACGTAATATTCATGTCACAAATATAAATAATAATTAAAAAAAGTTATTCGTCGTCAGTACTAAATGATGCATCTTCGTCTTTTTCATCATCTTGGACAGAATAATCCGATTTTGAGACAAAAAAAATTCGCATTTGGGCCTCCATATCTGATTGCCGCTTCCTCATTTCCTCTATTTCAGCATTTTTTCTATTTCTGATATTCTCCATTTCGGCCTTTAGGATCGCCTCACGTACCTCCGCCTCTCGTCTCGCCTCAGATAGAGCTAATTGTCTCACTGTTGCCAACATTTCTGGTGTCAATTCTGCCGGACGAGATCCTCCTTCCCCATCATCGAGTCTTTGAAATAAAGTTTGGTCCCCTTTTCTATAATCGTCAACCAAAGACCCCAGACCAAAAAAACATCCATTGACTCTCTTCTCGCCTACTGTTAAATTCCAAATATAAAGATCCACGTGTGGGTCAAGCGGTGCATTCCCAATCGGCATATATTGAGGATTTTCAGTTAGAAATTAGGCAAGCAAGGTCTAGTACAACTCCTACACACACATTAAAAAAATTAAATTAAATTAAATATAATTTAAACAATTTAATTATATATAGTAATTATGAAATTAAAAGAATTCAACTATAATAAACAAGTTATCAAGGTTGATTTGGAACGACCGTCAACAAACTCCCCCGATTTTTTGGTTCGGGTCTTCACAAATAGCTCATTAATTCGTGGCTCCCTCCCCAAATTCTTTTTCTAATTAAAATAATAAAGTTTAATTAAATATATAATAATACAAAATAAAACTAAAAAAAATAGTTATAATTACCATTCGTCTTCGATGTTCGCCGATACTGATACTTCTAATTGTACTAAGACAGCCACCTGCTTCAGATGCCCTCATCTTTTTAACATGTTCAGATCTTTTATGAAAATATTCTATCTTCCACAACTCAATAAGTTCCCTAAATATTTCCTTGCCTATCTAGTTAGGACGAGTTTGATCTCTTTCCCAATGTTGTCTAGCATTCCTGAGCATGTCAGATAATATGCTATATACCTTACTTCTGAAATTTATTTTAATTTTGAACTCGTCAAATTTTTGCCAAGTACACATTTTCTGCAAGTTATATGACAGTCAAATAAAATGTTAGATATATATAACAAAAAATAGTTACAAAATAACATAACTATAAATAAAAATACAATTTACCTTGAATTTTATTTGTACATCTTTTACTCTGGTGACAATCGCGGAGAAGGCAAATCTTTTACTCGTACATCTTTTTTGAAATTAGTCTTGTTTCTTCTAAATACATGATCTCGTGGTAGGAATCTGCGGTGACAGTCAAACCATGAACTTTTCCCTCCAAATTCCAAAGTAAAAGCCTTTGTAAATTCCATGCAATGTGGACATCCCATTTTGCCATGCGTACCCCAACCAGATAACATTCCATAAGCGGGAAAGTCATTAATAGTCCACATCAATGCAGCTCACAGAGTAAAGTTTTGTTTGCGAGATATATCATAGGTCCATTCTCCAATCCACAACCTCTTCAAATCATCTATTAAAGGTTGTAAATAAACGTCGATTCCGGCTTTATGACTTGACGGTCCTGGAATGAGGCAAGTCAAAAACATGTATGGTTTTGTCATGCACATCTCTAGAGGGAGGTTGTAAGGAGTTTGGCCAACATGAATATACAATTGTAGATGCTTGGACGTATGGAGTAAAACCATTAGAGCATAGTCTGAGCCTAACATTTCTAGGTTTTGCAGCAAAATCAGAATGTACCCAATCAAAATGTTTCTATAGCTCACCATCAGATGGATGCCGCATAATGCCTGAACTTGTTTTGTTTGTATGATGCCATGTCATTTGACTTGCACTATGCATTGAAGTAAACAATCTTTTTAACCTTGGTATTATCGGCAAATAAAACATGGACTTCACTGCTACACGTTTTTGTTTACGGTTAATGGCTTTACTACGAACTTGATATCTCGGACTCTTACAGAACTCACATTTCTCCAGCGCCTCATCATTAATACCAAACTCATTGTCATAAAACAACATACATCCATTTATGCAATAATCAATCTTTCATACTTCTAAACCCAACTTTGATACCAACCTCTTTGCATCATAATAACTTGTAAGCAAGTTGTCTTTCGTAAGAGTCGCATCCAACATCATTTTTGTGAAGTATTCCAAACACTGATCAGGAAACATTCCAATTTGACTTTACGGCCAATAATCTCATACACATTGATAATTTTGAATCGGTCGACCCCTCAAACAACGGTGTATTCATTTCTTTCAACAATTGGTAAAATCTTTGTGCTTCCTCATTCGGCAACTCTTCCCCATCAAAATCTCGAGGTTCATCATATGTCACATTTACTCCAAATGCATTTCCAACCATATCATCAATCAGATTAAATTGTTCATCAAATTCCATATGTGACCGACTGCTTGATGCGTGTGTATTATTTGTCTCTGCATATACGTTACTCTGCAGTTGTTCTCCATTATATGTCCAAACCCAATAATTTTTAATGAAACCCTTCCTCTTCAAATGACGTTCTACTTCCTCTGGGTCACTAATTATAGGTCTACATTCACATTTAAGACAAGGACATCTCACTCCTCCTTCACGTCGACAACATTCTTGTGCAAATGCCCACGTGATAAACCCATTAACTCCTTCCTCAAAAGTTGGTGTAAGCCCGCGTCTACCTGGTAACGTTCTATCGTACATCCAACTACGATAGTAACGAAAACATTCCATACTGCACATTTGCACTATCATTATATATCATTTTAATAAAATATGTAATTTTAATATGCAAAATGATATAATTCTTTTCACATTAATTTAATAAATTTAAATCTATTTTTTTCTATTTTAAATATACTACATATTCTCAAAATATAATATTCTAAAATATAATATATAATTTGTTTATTAAAAATAACACATTTAAAATATAATATATATTCATTATTTTTAAAAATCTAATTCTTCTAAAATAATATATATTATGTTTACTAAAATATAATAAGTATTCAATAATATAATATTCTATAATATATATAATTGGTTTACTAAAAATAACACATTTAAAATATATATAATACATATTCAATATTTTTTAATAAAAATACTTTTTCAAAAAATAATATATTTAAAAATAGCATATTTTAAATATAATACATATTCATTATGTTTTTAAAAAAATATATTTTAATTTTTTCTATTTACAATTTGGTTACTAAATATATTTTTAAAAATTCTACTTTTTCTAACATAATATATATTTTGTTTTTAAAAATTAAAAATACATTACATATTTTATTTCTAATATATATTTTATTATATATTTTTCTAATATATATTATGTTTTTAATTCTAAAAATATATATTTTGTTTCTAAAAATACATATTTTATTTCTATATATATATATATATATATATATATATATATATATATATATATATATATATATATATATATATATATATATATATATATATATATATTATGTTTTTAATTCTAAATATATATATTCTATTACAAAATATTTTTAATTGTAGCTTTTCAACAACAACAACACAATACACATATATACTTACATCTAATTAACAACAACAAATCTAAAATTTTATAATCAATAACCTAAATAACATTTCATATATCACTATAAATCTAAAAAATAAACAAATTTAAATGCGTAAATACCTCAATAGAGCTAACTCCCAAAGCTTCAATGAAACTTCTTAATCTTAGATCTGGAAAAAAAAATCAATAATTAATGATAAGAAAAACATAAAATAAACTATAAAACAGCCACAAAAACAATATATATCTCATTCACCTTAAATTTTTTGTGAGACTTTCGTTCAAAATGGAGGATTAAGGGAGGCAGAAGGGGAATGAAGAAGGAAGAAAGGAAAGATAGAAGGAGAAGAAGAAGAAATGAGACTTGCGTGAAGAAAGTTTTGGGCGTTGCATATATAGCAAGACTTGCGACGTGGTAGACACGTGGGAACTTACCCACGTGAAAACCACGTCGGAACCTCTTACATTATCCATCATTTGCGACGTGAATTTTACTTGGGAAAGTTGCCACGTTAAACCTACGTCGGAACTTTCCCAGCAATAAATATTTAAATGTTGCAGTACTAAATATCAAAGCAACGGTAAAAAATAAATTTTAATTTATTTATGTATCAGATTTGCGACGTGGGATTAACTTGGGAAACCTGTCACATTCAATTTCACCATCAATGTATCTGAAAAGTAAAAGTAAAAGCTTAGTGCCTTTACTATTTACAAACTTGCGACGTGAATTACATGTGGGTACTTTGTGACATGTTCTCCATGTGGCAAATAAAAAGACTTTTTTGAATTTTTGGTTCTCATGTGTTTGACACGCCACAACTTAATTTTTAAAAAATTCAAACTTCCATCTCTCTTAAAATGTAAATATTTCGTTGCAGATTTTAGGTTTACATAATTTATGAATTAAATATGTTAGTGACGTGGAATTCACTTGGAAACGTATTTTTTTCCCATGTGTCACTAAATCACTAGGCAAAATCAACATTTTCTTGTAGTGAATAGTATGAATTATTTCTCTAAACAAATAATATAATTATTTTATTGCACAAAAGAAATTGATTTACAAAATTATTTAACTAATAAATTAATTTAATAGAAAACACATTACTTTTAGAAAATCAATATAAATAATGAACTAAAATGAAATTTAAAAACTTTATTAAATTAGGATTAATATTTAATTAAGTTAAAATACATTGAAGTCAATTTTGATTTAAAAAAATGTCTTTCAAATAATATAAAACTATAATTTTATATTTTGTGTTTATTTTGTTTAAGAATATTTTTTTAACAAAGATAATTTATTAAATAAAAAAGAAAATAACAAAAAGATGAAGGGTAGTAAAACCTAGCAAAAATGATAGTTAAACATGTTTAATCTATTTTTTAAATTTTTTTTAAAACTCCACATGAATCTTACCAAGTGTAATAATAAAAAATAAAATAAAAAACTGTATAGATTAATCTATTTAAAATTACATTTCTCTATTTAAAAATGTGAGATATTATAAATTTAATAAAGTGTATAGTGTGTAAAATATTCTTCTCTTTAATTAAAAGATACCAATAAACAATATTTAAATTAAAAATATATATGAATGATCAATATTAAAATAATTTTAAATAAAAAAATTTACTAATTTTTGGTCTTAAATATAAACAAATATTAATAAATTTAAAAGTATTTAATGTTTTTATTTTAAAACTATTTATGTATTAATTATTTTATATTATTAGCGAATGACAATTTCATTAAGAATAAATTAATAATTATGTTATTTCTTTTATATAAAATTAAAAAAAATTAAATACACTTAATTATCTTTCTCAATAGATATGAAAGTTGTTCTTTTTTTCTTCTTATATAATTTAGTGCGGAGTAGTAATTTAAAACATTATTTTGTGTGTGTGGAAGATTTTAGATTTCTAATGTATTTGAACTTGATTGCTTACAATTATACGATTACAAGATTGCAGGTCATAAATAGAAAACACACTTTGATTCATTAAGTAACTATATCTACACCAACAAAATTTATCTAGAGAAAGAAACTAAACACATGTTTAATTTAATTTTGTAATTTTTTAAATTTAAAATAATAAAATTTGTTTAATAGTTTAATTTTACAAAACTATTTTTTGTTTAAAAGTTTTAAAAATTAAAATAAATTTTAGAAATTTTAGTTTTTAGTTTTAAAAATTGAGAAGAGAACAAAATTAAAAATAATATACTTTTTATTAAAGACAATTTTTTTTAATATTGTACAATTTAAAAATAGTTTTTAAAAATAAAATTATCATTTTTCTTAAATTTTCTTAAGACTAATTCCTTTTAAATTAATGTATGCAATTATTTTTAAAACTAAAATTATTTTATAAAATAATTTTTAAAAATTAATGGCGAAGACTTGAGTCTTGGGAGTGTGTCTTCTCAAGATCTTTGATTAGAATTATGTTAGATGCAAACAACTCTTGTATCAAGCCATGTTCATACAAAGCTTTGTATTGACTTTAAACGAATCCCTCGAAAGTGAACAGTGAAATTGATTCACTTGAATTAATCAGTCGCAAAGTCAAATACCATGATTTAAAAAAAAAATCATTTAAGCAACCTTTTTTTTTATTCAAACAAGCTTAAAGCATTTCATTTATCAACTGATACTCAATACAGGGAGGAATCAAATTAAAATTGTTACTCCTAGACCAAAAACTGGTCACTTTACCTAACAAGTGGGCAACCGAATTTGTTTGGCGCTTAACAAACTTTACCTTAAAGTTGAGAATACATTGTAATGAAGTCTTAATCGATCTAATAATGATACTAAATTCAGAGTTGCCACAATAGTTGGTATGGATAGCTTGAACCACCATTTGAGAGTCACTTTCAAATATCACATAATTCAATTGCATTTGAATGGTTGTTTGGATTGCTTCTTTCATGGTCATGGCTTCTGCTTTTATGATCGACTAAAGACCAAAATCCCACGAAATACCAACAATGATGAATCTATCAAAGTAATCTCTAACACACCAACCCATATTTGTTGTTCCTCATTGCCTATTGAACCCTATATCAACATTTCATTTCACCCATCCTTCATTCGGTAGGTTCCAACAAATTTGCACGAACTGGACATCATTATCACTCATTTGACTATCTTGAGATTTAAACCATTCATGCCATGTATGAAAAACTTGCGTACTTAACTTCGACACCTCTTCTCTATCATTGTTCCAAATCACATTATTTATATTATTCCAAAGCATCCAAATCAAAATTGCAACCCTCCCCACAATTCTCATATCTTCTTTACTACAAATATCAAGAATAAAGGTCTTAACATCACTAAAATTATGTAAACAAGGTTCAATAATAGAATACAAACCTGGTGCCTTCCGGCTTTGATTAGTAGCAGTACACCTAATGAACACATATCACTATCTTCCTTAATATTCTCACATAATTGACAATTTAGAGTGTTAATGGTAATAAAGATGATGACAATGTAGCTAATGCACATGCCAATGTAACTAATAGCCAAAATAGAAATAACTAACTCCAAGTTAGTTACACCAAGTTAGTTAGTTAGTTAGTTGTGAATTCTTTGATATATAAGAAACATAATGATCATATACCTAATTAAGATTGATCAATACATTGGCTTCTTTTTTCTTTATTGCATGCATGTTATTCTCTCTTTCTTCTTCTTGAAGTCATAACCAAAACTTGTTATTCCCATGGCATGATTTGCATAGCTTGCATCTTCACATGGTATCATTAACCTGTGATTCTTTCCTTCCACTGTGGTTGAAGCCCATCAATCTTCATCTTTGTTTCCTCACCTGTATCGATTCCTTTATCTCCTTTGTGTTTTCATCATGTCTTCTTAAGCTCCTCCAGCAGCAGCAATAATGATGGCCCTACTTCACAAGCCAATCACAAAGGTCATCAAACTGATACTCTTAATCTTTACTTCATGCATCCTAATGAAAACCTTATCTTAATTATTGTTACCCCTATTCTTTCTAGCAACAATTACCATTATTGGTTGCATTCAATGATTATGGTGTTGAGATCTAAGAACAAGCTTTATTTCATCAATGGTTCCTTACCTCAACCACCAGATCATGATCATAATTCAGTTGTGCGTGACATGTGTAACAC